GTCCATGGACGCCCGTGTTCCTTGGCCCGCGCGCGCCGCTCTGCCTCTGAGTCACCGTCTCCGAGTCACCGGCTCCCTCCTCACGGAGCTGAGCAGTGGCAGGAGCCGGCGGCGGGACGCTGAGCAGTGGCAGCAGCTGCAGCAGGAACCAGGAAGGAAGGAGACGTCGGAGCCTCCCCTCTAGCCGGATCTCCCCACCTCCCCCTCCCTCGTCCCCTCCTCCCGCCAAGCTCCGGGCGGCCGCTCAGCTCTGCCCCCCTGCTCCCCGGAGGACTCAGGGCCGAATGGACTCCCAGGCACCAGCACCAATGAGGCTTGGGAGCGGTGGCCCAGTCCCCACTGGGCACGGTTCCAGATGGATCATTGGACTGGGGAATTGCTGGCCTCAAGCCCTGTGGTGGTAAAGGACTTCTGCAGACTACTGTAGCCCCGACCCCAGTTAGTGCCCAAGGCCATTTCCTAGTCAACTCCGCCTCTCATTTTACATCTGAAAATAGACTGCAAAATCTGGAGCCAGCAAAGGTATCAGGTTGGCTGAGAAGGGAGCGGTTTCCCCTAGGGGACCACAGTAGTGCAAAGAGCACAGTCAGCAGAAGCTGTCAAGGTACCAGAGGCAAGGCCAGCTGCCCCTCCCTGGGGGGGAGGCCCTATCAGGCCAGGCCCCATCGGGTCTGGGAGTGCTTATGTAGTTAAAGACCAACCCCCAGAGCCTGCGGAGTGTCCGGAGTGTCCGGATCAGGAGCAGGTCAGGCAGTCACCTCTGTCAGAAAAGGCTGGCTGCTGCCCACTTTGACATTGTCACTTCCCTGAGTCCTTTGCCCTGCTGCTGGAGTACTGTTCAGGGACTCAGTTTAATTTAAAATCAGGGTTTTGTTGTTTGTTTTTTAGAGAGGTTTTGCTATAGGGCACGTGCACTCACTGGCCAGGAAGAAAGAACTCACCCCCCCAGAGGGGATGTCATGCAGCAATCCCTCCTCCTCCAGTCTCCTCTCGGGATTTTGGGCACACATGCACACACTCCTGGCCTGAGTTTTAAGCTGCTGGTGCCAGGCCTTGAATCACAGTTGACTTACACGGGGGTTCAGTAATGTAACCATTACACCATCTGCGGGTCCCTAAAATCAGCTTACGAGAGGTCAGCTGGTGGTGTGGTGGTTAAGTGAGTTGGGCCCAACGTGACTGACCTTAGTGTTTTGAGTCCTGAACCCGGCCACTTGAAAATACACAACAGGAGCATGCATGCCCACGTGTGTATGCATGCCCAAAATCACCAGAGGGAGAAGTGGAGATTGCAGTGTGACCATCCCCCGGGGTGACTGCTCTGGATAGTGCTAGGTGTGAATCTCATACACCCTCTGGCATATATATATATATTTTTTTTAAAGGCTCTGGAGAAAGAGAAAGATCTAAAGTCCATTCATATGAGTATGACCGAGACCAACACCTTTATTTACGTGCAATGAAACAGTTGTCAGGAAGATGTGGGTTTTTGTGAGGGCACCAGCCATTATCACCAGGTGAAGGATGGAATATGAGGCTCTTCTTTGGTCCCCAAAATGTAGGCCACATGCCTCATTCCCAACTCATCTCCACCCAGCCTGCTTCCACTCTAGGGTCTTACACACCTCAGGGGCCCCAGTCCCCTTCTGCACTACCCCAGCTGCCCCAGGACAGAGGTTAGTAGCTGGCAGGCTCTGGAACAAAATGGGGCCTCTAGGCGGCACTGGTTGGCAGACACTGGCATTGAGGAGCCCCTAGGGCCTTTTAATTCACCTCGCAGTGATTGAGCATCCCTGGCATATGGCATGAGTGAGGTACCATGGGAAGCTATTCTGGACCCAGGCCACAAAGCTGCTGCAGATCACTGCCAGGCGCTGCCTGTGCAGGGTAAAGGCACCGTGCCACTGCTCCACGCCCAGGAAGGAATGCTCAACTGCCCTCCCCATATGTACCACCCCGTACCCACCCAGAATGTGGATACGTACTCCAATCAAGGACAAAGGCAGGCTTCAAGTGAAGCATCCTATCTGCTTTATTAGGAAACCCTGTTTCTCCCAAACTCGGACCAGGCCTCCTATTCTAGAGGCCTTGATTATCAGAGAACCCCGATTTCCTTCCAGCCCTTGCTCAGAACCAACAGAGACACGGTGGCCACTGGGCACCAGTCACCTACCTTCAAAAGGACAGGTATGTAAGAGAGGCCTTTGTGGAACTAGGTACAAGGGAAGAGGAAAAATTTTCTAGAGAGGAAGTGAGGAGAGGCAGCAAGGACAGAGATGACCCTGGGAATGAATCTGCAGGGAGAGTAACTGTAAACAGCAAAACGAGTCAGTAAAATGCACTTGGTTCTTACCATACGGCCATTGTTACCATACCTCTCCACAACACCAAGGGCAGAGAACCCACCTCTTGGTAACCTAATGAGGAAGCTCCAGTGTAGACAGTGCAGAGAGCCTGGCTCAAGTCCCTGTTCTGCCACTGACTAACTGCATGATCTCGTGCAAGCTATTTAATGTCTCTGTCTCGTTTTCTTCTGTGTAGCAGGGAAAACACGGTGAGGAATAAAGGACTAAGACACGTACCGTGCTTAGTCGGGAGCCTGGCACACAGCAGGTGCTCGACAGGTGCCATTCTTAGCACACTGACTCAGCTAAGCTGCTGTGGCAGATTACACACGAGGGGACAGCCAGGACAGTGACCAGAGAGAGCGATGTCCTCATCTTTCTGGTTCCTCTGCCTTGGACCTGAGAGGGGAAAGTCTTTGCTCCTATCAGGGCCGACTGGGAAAACTACCAACTTGGTGGTTACCAGCCTCCATTCTGAAGCAGAATCTCTCTGTGCCTCCGAGCGGGCCTGCACCTGGGGAGGCTGTTGTCAGTGGAGGCCAAGTAATCAGTGCCACCCCCAAGCCCAAGTTCCTCCCCATCTCTGATGGAGGACAGCGTGACCAAGGGGCGGAGTGTATTTATGGGCAGGCTGGCTATGAGTCTGGAACAGGGTCAGGAGGATCCAGCTTCCCACTGGCTGACGCAGCAGAGTCCCCCGGGCATTGCTGTCTGACGTACTGATCCAACAGGGCAGTCAGCTGGAGGGGCTGGTGCTGCAGCAAGAAGTGGGTCTGGGCCATGAGGAAGGAAAGCCCTCCTACCAGCTCGCCCTGCACCAGGGCCAGGCTGGGAAGCTTGGAGTAGTTGATGAAACCCTGCCGGCTGAGGATGGTGTCATCGATGCAGCCACCTGGAAGAACACAGTGTCAGTGGGCTCCTGCAAATGCCTTTCAGATCCTGCAAACACTGCTCCAACCTGAGGAACCTGCTCTCCATTGCCCTTCCACATCCTGGCCTTCCCAGTCATCTGGCTTCCACCTATGGCTCACCCCACTCCCATTCTAGTTGGGACGGACCCTCTCCCCTCTTCCCAACTCTTCCCTCAGAAAACTCTTGTCTAATATGTCCATCTGTTCCCGACCCTCTATTCGGTGTTTCCTTAACATCCCTGCAGATAAGAATCATGGTGTGGAGGGAGGAAATGGGGAGCTATTGTCTAATGGGTATAGAGTTTTAGCTTTACAATATCAAGAGTTTGATGGTGATGGTTGAACCTTATGAATGGACCTAACACCATGGGATTATACACTTAAAATGGTGGGGCCGGCAGGTGGCATAGTGGTTAATGCACTCGACTCTCATATGGCCAACCACAGTTCAAGCCCTGGACCCAGTAGTTTGGAAATCACACCAGGTGCATGTATGTGGATGTCTAAAATCCTGAAAGGAGAATGGAGAAGGGACCGCAGCATGGCCACCTCCCCTGGGGGTGATTTCTCACTTTCCCTCTTTCTATTTCTCTGGTGAGCACACATGCCCTATGGCAAAAAAAAAAAAACCCACAAAACATAAATAAATTAATTTAGTAAATTTTTTGACATGTATATTTTATATTTTTAAAAAATTTTTAAAAATCATGCAATGTGGAGGGCTGGCAAGTGGCATGGTGGTTAAGGGTGCTGGACTCTCACATGGCCGACCATGGTTTGAGTCCTGGACCTAGAGGCTTACTTTCTCACTTTACTGCTCTCTGTCTCTCACTCTGTCCCTCTTTGGTCAAATCAAAATAAACAAACAAACAAACAAACAAACAAATAAATATTAAATAAAATAAAATAATTCTTTAAAAATAAAACATGCAGTGTATGTATGGGGGGATTATAACCAGATTCCTGCCTCCTCCACCAAGGTCTAGAGAATGTAAATGCCAGGGCCAGCAGGTGGCATGGTGGTTAAGGTGCTGGACATTCCTACATGGTTGACCACAGTTTGGGTCCTGGACCTAATGGCTTGCTTTCTCATCTTCCGCTTCTCTCTGTGTCTCCCTCTGGTCAAATTAAAATAAATGAATGAGTAAATTTTTAAAAATGTAAATGCCAGAGGGTATGCGCAGTGTTCTCTATAGAAAAAGCTACTCGGGTGTCTCTCAGTCTCAGGGGAATCTGGGAACCATGATCACTGTCCCCTTAACACCCGTTACTAGGGCTATTTATTTTAAATACCCCCTCCATTCAGCACCCATTAATCCACTGGTGGGCTTGTGGAGTCTGAATTTCTTCCCTCCCCATCCCACTCCACCCCAGTCCACCCCAGTGCCCTCTCTCTGCCTTCTCTTGTCTCCCCTCCAGCACAGATGTTGAAGTGACAGTCAACCCTGACAATAGTACCGCTGGTTCAGACCCCATCATGAGAGGGTATCCTCTTCAAGAACATCCATGGTTTTACCCAGGCTGGCACCAGCTGCTGCAGCACTGCCCCTCCTCACCCTGACCCCTCACTGGCAGGGTGCTTGCTCACCTAAAAGTGGCAGGAAAGGCATGCCCTTTAAGAACCGCACCATCTCCCTGACCTTGGGTTCTTCACTGACCAGCAGCAGGTTGTGCCCCACAAAAAGCGGCAACAGGTTTTGGTACTTGGACTTCTCTAGGAAGGGCTTCAGGACCTGGGACAGCAGGAAAGAGGGCTTATCAGGGATGAGTGGAAAGACGCACCGCCCACCTTGGTCATGGGCCAAGGTCATCAGGCTGAGGACACAACCCAAGGCTCTCCTGAGCCCCTAGATGCAGCGTAGGCACCGGACTAGAGGGTGGCTTAGGAGGCGGAGGCGCTGAAGTATCACTTAGGGAGCAGATGTCAGGGTGAGTCCAGTACTGTACCGGGGGGGGGGGCACTCCCTACCTGGTTGGGAAAGACCTTCATCAAGATCTTGTGTTTCCGCAGCCGATGTCGCATAAGAAGCTTGTCCTCTGCACTCATAGCCACGTTCTGGCAGACTGCGATCATTCGGTTGTTCTGGAAGACCGCTTCTATCTCCCGACGGAGGAGCCGGATAAGGCCTGTCTCCTGAAGCCAGGAAAGGACAACCAAGGAGACATCAGCTATCTCTTCTCCTGGAACCCCTTGTTCCCACAGGATAGGGCTGGAGCTTCGGGCTCCCAAGGATGCCCAAAAGAGCACAAGATCAAGGAGCAGGTAGGGGCCCCCGACTCTTGGTGACATGAAACATCTCTCGTTCTGATCTTTTCTTTTTCATTAGATAATTGGTCCTAGAGCAGTGTCTCCAAACCTGACACCATTCAATGCTGTTCCCTCACAATGAGTAGATCAAGTCTGCCCAAACGTCAAAATTACTTCAATGTTCGATTTAACTGTGTACTCCTATTGAATTATTTTACCAATGATAAATACAGGATATCTCTTTTGCAGTATTAGTTTAAAATTCAGTCATTTTCACAGAATTTTCTTTTGTTTTATTTATTGTTTGTTGAATGAGAGAGAGAATGACTGACTGACCAATCCTGGCAGGGTCTTCTCATGCTGTGATCCTCCCCACAGGCTCCCGGCCAGCCAAGATCATGGTATAGGCATTCCACCCAACACACTCAGGTTGGGTTGGCAGGTGGTGTGGTGGTTAAAGGCACTGGATACTGGATTCCCACATGGCCAATCGTGGTACAAGTCCTGGACCTGGAAGCTTGCTTTCTCACTTCCTTTCTTTCTCTCTCTATAACTCTCTAGTCAAATTTAAATAAGCAAATGAATACATAAATAAATGTAGTTAAATAAAATAGTTCTTTAAAAAATATTAATATATGTGAGTTAAAATAATGGAGGACAGAACCAGCAGGGAACATGGAGGTTAAGGTGGCAGGATCCCACCTTAGCTAACTCGTGATTTGGATGCCAGACCCATGGTGTAGAAAACACACTGGGTGTGTGTGTGCATGCCCAAAATCCCAAGAGGAGAAGAGAAGGGATTGTGGCATGGCTGTCCCTCTGGGAGGTGATTTCTCACTTTCTCTTTCTCTCTGACTCTCTACAGTGAGCACATGTGCCTTGTAGCAAAACTAAAAGAAAAAAAGAAAGAAAGAATAAAAGATATACTATTGTGCTAAACCTAGATTCTAGCTCTGCCCTGTCCAATACAATAGCAACCAGGGATATGTGGTTATTTATATTTAAGTTAATTAAAAGAAATACAATGGAGAATTCAGTTCCTTGGTCACACTAGCATCATTTCAAGTGCTCAACAGTCACATATGGTTAGTGGCCACCGTATTGAACCACACAGATACGAAACATTCCCATCAACCCATAAAGTTCTCCTGCCACTGCTCTCGATTCTGCTATAGCTGTGAGGCAGCATGCATCACTAGCATAAAAAAAAACTGGAGAAACTTGACAGGGAAAGTTCCATGCAATGCTCTCACTTTCATCTGAACTGGGAGGAGGAATGCTGCCAATCAATGTTAGCTGGGCAAACGCTAAGTGTTGGTGACAGTGGCTGACCACTCAGACAGCAAGCCAAGCACTGCTCTATAAAGACCTTTCAGGACTCATTTCAGATAGCTCTGCTTTCATGGGGAGAAAACTCAGATGGGCAGGCTGTCCTCTTATCATCTCTGATGAACTGCTACCAAATGACTTGCACCCTCTGTCCCATCTGTGTTTGACGTCTGACCTACATTCCTAAGGCTGCAGGTACTGATCACTCTTCTAGGAAAACAAGGAACCTTCAACTCTTCTTAAGAGGAGTTGGCCAGCTCCATGGCCCAGGGGTAAAGGAGCTAGATACCATGGCCAACCTCATACTTTGAGTCCCGGACCCGATGGCTTAAAAAACATGCTGGCGAGCATGCATGTGCGCTCAAAATCCCAACAGGATGGAGAAAAAGAGAAGGGACTGTGGTGTGACCACACCCCACTGTGGAGTGACTGCCCCCTTTCCCTCTCTCTCTCTCTCTCTCTCTCTCTCTCTCTGGCTAGTGTACATTCTCTCCAGAAAATTAAAAAATAGTAAGTTAATAAATAAGACAGGAGAAATATTCTCCCCTTGCCCTACCTGCTTGAGCTTTCAAAATACACTTTAGGAGACAAATAAAGAAGGAAATTGAGGAGGCCCAGTCAATCCACAGTGCTCAAAGCCTAATACAGAAAAACAAGCTCGGATTTCATTTTTAAGTGTCTAAACCACAGGGTCTAAGTGGGGAAGTGAAATGATGATGTGAGTGGCTGTGGCTTGGAATCCTACTTCACCGTGGTGAGATAAGATCACTTTAAACTACCATCCCACCGCTGCGTGACAGGTACCACTGTCCTCCTTACCTCTTTGGGAGGTCTGGGAGGTGGTGGCAGGCATCTTGGGTTGACGGCAGGTTTGGGAGGGATATATTCAGTCACAGCCATTAGCTTTTGCCTCTCAAAGTGCATCACTCGACGGTGGCGGGTAACAGCCTTGGAGCCATGGCGGACAATCTGGAGGGTGGGCAGCTGGCCTGAGAGGGCAAAAATGGCAAAAGTGAGATGTAACCTCTAGAAGATGATAGTATTGAGAAAAAGCACTCCCTCTGGGCAGGAGCAACCATGGTTCACAGAGCTAGACTCAGCACAAGAATGGGATGAGGAACTGCTTGCCAGAAACCCTGAATTCCCAAACCTTCTCTTCTAATGGGTGACCTTAGGTCACATGCTTGATCCTTTGGGGCTCCCATTTCATCAGCTCTTATTTATATGCCAAGGGAGAAAAAAATAAGAACAAGGAAGAAAATATTTTGAACACATTAAGAAAAGGTGGGGGGGGGGCAGCTAGTGGCATGGGGGTTAAGGCACTAGATTGCCACATGGCCAGCCACAGTTCAAGTCCCGGACCTGGCGACTTGCTTTCTCACTTTCCCTCCCTCTCTCTCTCTGGTGAGCACACATGCCCTATAGCAAGTTAAAAAATAATAATAAATAAAATAAAATAATTATTCAAAAAAGAAAGAAAAGTGAGAGAGGGCATAACAAACTTTCTTTTATTTTTATTTTTTAGTTTGCTATAAAGTGTATGCACTTGCCAAAGAGAGAAAGTAAGAAATCCTCCCCCTCATGCCCTGAGGGGGTAAGCCACACCGCAATCCCTTCTACATTCTCCTCTGGGGATTTTGGGCACGCGCGCGCGCGCGCACACACACACACACACACACACACACACGTGCCTGGTGTATTTTTCAAGCTACACACAAATCACACAATTGGCCACGTGGGATCCACTCGCCTTAACCTTTGCGCCACTTGCTGGCCCTGAACAAGCTTTTTCTTAAATGGTAAAACAGTAAATATTTTGTCTGCGGAGCCATACTCTGTCACTAACACTCAACTCTGTGAAAAACAGACACAAACAAATTGGCCCAGCAGCTATGCAAACAAATAGATGACTCCATGTCCCAGTAAGTATTTCTAAAAAAACAGTGACTAGTGTTCTCATGACATGCCAACCTCTGGTCTAAGTCAGTTGTTCTCTAAGTATGCCCCATCTTCACCCCAACCAGCAACAGCACCATCTGGGAATTTGTTAAAAATACAAATTCTCAGGCCATGCCCTAGACCTGCTGCATCAGAAATTCTAGGGTGGGATCCAGCAAATAGGGCTTTAATAAGCCTTCACGGTGATGTTGGTGTATGCTAAAGTTTGAAAACTCTTGCTCCAAGGCCTTCTATGTTTTCAAGCAAAAGGAGGAAAATATTCTATCATCCTCTTCACTGCTCTCTGTTTTCCTCTTCTTTTGTACAGGTCATGCTGGAGAACACCCCTCAGAAAACAAAGGAGACACTCAAAAGTCCTAAGCCAAAGTGACCCCTTCACCCCTTCCCATTTCCAATCCTTCCCAAGGCTGGGATGGAACTTCAGGG